AAGTAATGCAACCGTCTGCAATGTCGGTTAATAATATTACTCTCATCGTCATCTCAAGAACTAAGTGGCAAAGAAGGTCTTTACCTTACTCATATCTTTCGCCTCCGTGCTCTCATAACTCATGTATGCACGCTGATTTCGAGTAAACCTATTAAAATTATGAATGTAAAAGCTTGCAGAAATATTTGTAAACAGCTGAATGTATTCGAAAGACATTTTGCACCTCCATAGACCATATTCTACGATACTATCCATTGAAGAGCAAAATCAGGAGCAAAGAGACTCGAGGATGCAGGATCATTGTCCTATGGAGAATAGAATGGGTTGCCATTCTTTTATTTTGTAATTTTGTAATAAAAATAGAACTAAAATAAACAATAACAACATAAAAAATATGTTAGTTACAGTCCTATAATAGAGTGATTTTCAGCAAGTGTGACCTCTCTTCAACTGTGGTGACCTTTCAACTCTGCTTTCAACTTCGTGTTCCCGGAAAATCCAATGTTCCCGAAACAAGGTTTTTATAAAATACCTTTCGGGAACGTCCACGTTCAGAAGATTTGAAATCGAATTTCGATGAAGTTAGAGAATCGAAAAATTTCAAGGAAGGTACGAGAGAAATCGTATTTGCTGAAAGTCACCCATTAGTATCCTTATGTAACCAAAGTGCAAGTTAACTTCATTACTGTGGGCGGAGCCGAGGGATGTAACTAGTAATAATTACGTGAGAACGTTTCACGAGGTTGTAAATTTTATAAGCTGTCTAGTTAAATGTAATTCGTCGTAAATCATACAGTGTTTACTGTAACGTACGTGGACTCGGCAGTTAATCTCCCATCTTAACTACCACAGCCGAGACTGAATCCTAAACGTGGTTCATCGAACCCTTAATGTTAGTTAGTACATAGTTAGTACTTAGTAACTACAGAAATAGATTCAAACAGATTTACTAACTATTGGTACTTTGGGTGTCAGCGTTTTGCCTTAATTAAACCCAAAAGGACCCACTTGGACTGCCAAATATAGATTCGGAAACAGTAAATTATATTATGACCTCAAAATCATTTAACTAAATTTCTATTGTAGGTAGTATATGCATTTATTTTAACATCCATTGTATAAGTAGGTTAAGTAGGTAGGTATTATATTTATTTATAGTATATGTATTTATGTAATATTTTATTATGTATCTTAATATTTTATTTAACTATATATTTGTTTATGTACACTAAATATTAATAGTTGTAACACTTCAGCTGTCCGCTAACAACATGTTTTCTAACTGCATCGGGTTGACTGGAAGAGATCTCTGTCAGAGATAAGTCCACCCTTGCTCACAATATTTATAAATGCATTAACAATGTAATTTACAAGTGCAATAAAGAATATATATATATATATATATATATATATATATATATATATATATATATATATATATATATATATATAATATGAGCATTCAAAAGATTTTGCTTGCGGAAGTGTGTCGACGTTCCAGATTAACTGTCAATTTTCAAAAACAATTTTCAATGTCTTTGATTGATTATTAAAAAAATGCTTAGCCAGCAAACTTAATCTTGCGATAATATTCTTATCGATCAATCACTGAAAATTTAGGTTTAAATGGCAATAAAGTATTTGAAAGGAATTGTCACGTAAATGCACATTAAATTATTGAAATGTCAATTGTTTTAATTATGAATTAAAATGTAGCAATTGATTCGATCATGTATCGGTTTAATTATTTTTGTAGATATATTTTTTTTGTGTGGGTAGTACCGAATAGACTGGCTGTCATTCATTCCTGCTTTAATATTTGTCGAGGGAACACGCATTGAACAAGATATCAAGATTAAAAACATCTTTTATTTCTGGTAATAGTCGGTAAATAATTGTCCAACTATTACTCTTTATTACGTATTATATCCGCAATCCGTATAGTATATATATATATATATATATATATAAGTCGGACTGCGATTACCAATCCGCTTGCCAAGCGTGGCAACTACTCACAAAACCCCCCTTTATGGAGGAGGCCTATGTCCAGCAGTGGACAGTTAACGATCAATATGATAATGAGTCTATAATAAATTTATTTAATACGACGCATACTATTAGCGACTACCGAATTAACCTTCCCACGATTTTGTTACATTCATAGTTTTCTCTTTTCTGGTAACCTAACCTTTGAATTATCACATCATATACCAAATATATTATCGCTTTTTTTTCGTATAATATAACCATTTATTCTGTTATCTCACAATAGCTACAATATGGTTTATAAATAATTAATTTTGTCCGCTCACCTATGTTTATTATTTATGAATACTGTTCATGTGAAATCCATTGCGTATCACACAGACACACACACACGGAATGTGTCACTGTACTTTGGCAATTTGAAATTTGAATAATTGTAGAAATATAAAAAAAAAATGTACATATTTATTTGTTTAGATTGATTTAATAGACAAAGAATTTAGAAACGTAATTTGTATTTTTTTTTATACAACTTAGAATGGCAAACAAGCTGACAGCCCACCTGATGGAAAGTGGTAACCGTCGCCTATACACATGAGCAGTACCATGGACATAACAGAGTATACTGTTTCGCCAATGATACCCCCCCCCCCATGCGTTGCATTCCTGAGGACTCAGGTGTTATTCCTCTGTACCCAGTAAATTCACGCCATATCCCACCCTTCAAACCGAAACACAGCCATGCAAACACAACTGCTTCATGGTTGAAACACGAATGGGACAGAGGTATCCAAGCAATCGACTTTTGTACAAAGTCTCCCTCTGGTATACACATAATATGAACAATTATAAAAATTAGAGATGTGTAATGCGGTGCCGGGTGTTGTCCCATGCTGCTTTTGCCTGTATGAAAACTTTCTTCCTCACTAGGAGAGGAAGACTTTGTACAAAAGTCGATTGCTTGGGTGAAGCAGTTGTGTTTGCATGGCTGTGTTTCGGTTTGAAGTGTGGGATATGGTGTGAATTTACAGGGTACAGAGGAATTACACCTCAGTCCTCAGGAATGGCAACGCATGGGGGGTATCATGAGCGAAACAGTACACTCTGTTATGTCCATACGGTTACCACTTTCCAGGCGGGCCTTCAGCTTATTTGCCATTCTAAGTTGTATAAAAAAAAGATTGCCGACATAAAATTATTTAAGTTTAATATTTTAGCCTTGAAATAGAATAACAACAGACTATTTCCACGAATCTAAGTAAGGATTGTATATTTGATAAAGTTTATAATTGTAAACAGATAGTTTGAAGGCGTCATAGTAAACGGTACTGTTACTTTGTAGTAAATATGATTTTACGAAAATATTTATGTCCAATAACTTCGGTCATATCGGAAAGGTATAATTGAATTTAAAATTCAAAGCTATGTATAATAAACACGGGGAAAGAATGAAAGCAGAAAAAATGCTACATATGCCTATTCTATGTCGTGTGTTCCCGGTATAGAATAGGCCACCCCTTCCTTTCCCGTGAGTGTCGTAAGAGGCGATTAAGGGAGAGCGAACGATTGGCAGCAGCATTCCTCTTAAAACATGTTTAGAGCCTAACTACAGTTGCCAATCCGCCTGTCAAGCGTGGCAACTATTAGCAAAACCTCCCAAGAGGGAGGCTTATGGTCAGCAGTGGACAGTTAAAGACTGGTATGGTGATGATGATGACGAGAAAATGCTGCTAACTTGAAATTTAGTTAAGAAATAACAAAGTTATAGTAGGTACTTTTAAAACAATGTTTACTGAAAAAATTGGCTTGACTTGACCATTTAACCGTTCTCGAAAATTCTCAAGTCATTATAATGTATATTTTATTAATACAAGGAACCCTAATGATTAACATCAATCAATTATAATTTCATTTACCTGTCATAATTGAGAATATTAATTCTCTTTTAACTAATTAATTTCCTGAATTTTGATAAACATGACAACAAGGAAGAAAAAAATAACTAGAGAAAATTTATCGGCTCTTTCAAAAATGTCTTTCGTGTTTCTACTGTGAAGCAGTTGTGTTTGCATGGCTGTGTTTCGGTTTGAAGGGTGGGATATGGCAGTGAACTCACAGGGTACAGAGTACATCTGAGTCCTCAGGAATGGCAACGCATGGAGGGGTATCATGGGCGAAACAGTACACTCTGTTATGTCCATAGTACTGCTCATGTGTATAGACGACGGTTACCACTTTACATCAGGTGGACCGTTAGCTTGTTTGCCATTGTTTTTTTATGCCAAGTTGCATAAAAAAAATGTCCGATTGTGGAAAGTTTAAATTGAATTAAGTTTTTATTGGTGTCTATTATATTCCTAGATAATATTTGACCTTCCGTCTGTCCGATGAAACCGTTTCTAAATCTATGTTCCGCTAAATAATTACGATCTTTCATGTTGACTGGATATCAATTACTTTAACAATATTAAATGGTTTTTTTTTTTAATAATTAAATTTTACAGAACAGAATCTGTTAACTTGAGACCACGGCATAACGTTCGATATTTCGAATAAAAACCAGACATTTAATTGAAAGAAAAAAGAGAAATAATAAAATAGCCTAAATTTTCTATCAATATTTTCTTGTAATTGTTTGTCTGCCTACCCTAATAGGAGACAGGCGTGACAGAAATGTATGTATGTTGCATGGTCCGCGTGACCGTAATATGTTAATTGGCCGGAATAAAAATAGCCTTTTCTATTTCAAATACTATATACGTGTATATATATCGTATAAGGTCTGATTAAACTTGAAGATATAATAAATAAACTATATATTATATATATAATATAATATTATCAAATATTTAAATATATGAATACTATATAATTATATATAAATAGATTAAGTTGTATGCAATTTAAAAAGAAAAAAAAAAGAAACAAAAACATATTTTTGTAAAATATTATTCTTTATATATACAAAATATACAATTGTAATAAAAAAAAAACAAATATGTATCTCTTACCTAATAACCCATTAACTCAGTGTCAGTGACCCTTCTTAAATTCCCAATGCTTATGGTCGCCGTGCTCGCCCTTTTCTCCGTGCCCATGATCGTGATCCCAATGCTCGTGATGGTCGTCTTCTTCGTGATGACCCTTGTGACCGTGATGATGTTCGCCGTGCTCGTGATGACCGCCTTTGCCGTGATGATGTTCATGATCTTCACCGTGTTTATGCCCGTGATGGTGGTGGCCTCCCTTCTTATGTTCTCCCTCGTCGTGATGACCCCCGTAATGTTCGTGATGACCTTTATCACCGTGACTCTCGTGGAAATGCGTCACCTGTTCGAATTCGTCGTGTTTATCAATCTCGTGATGACCCTTCGTGTCATGTCCCTTCTCCCAGTGGCCATGCTCTTCGTGTCCGTGGCCGTGCTCACCCTTTTCACCGTGATGGTCATGATGATGATAACCGTCATCGTGATGATGATGCTTCTCGTGTCCACCGTGCCCTTCGTGATGACCCTTATGCCCTCCGTGATGATGATGTCCATGATGACCGTGATGTTCACCATAATGATCCTTGTGCCCTTTATGGTGTCCTCCTTTATGATGGTCATGACCGTCGCCATGATGGTGACCTCCGTGACCTTTATCCCATTTGTCTCCGTGATGAGAGGCAGCTGTCTCCAAATCTACGTCTCTTTTTATAATGCCCATGGCGGATACAACCGCAAGGGTAAGTCCGAATGCTATGCACCACCTCATAGTAAGACTTGTCGAATACAACCTGAACTGGTCACTATGTATTTATATAGTTAGAGTATTGCATCAAATTTGACAAGTTCACGCTTCGTAGTGTCAAGGTTGATCTAGCAATTGCACTTCCAGTTTAATGACCTGCAAGTGAACTCTTAGGTATTTCCACTTTTTATTTCCACTTTTATAGTATTTAATTTATTTTTTTAGAAACTAGATATAGGCTAGGAAAAAAGACCTTGGAAATTTCAATAATTGTAAATTTTAAATTAATATAAAAAAAATTACATCAAATTGGAAAAGTCTTTTTAACTGCAACTAGAACCTTCCAATTATTTTTCACTCATTGTTCAATTATTTTAAAAGCTTTATTGATCTAAAATCACTGGTCACATAGCTCGAGGAATCGACAACCGATGGGGGAAAAAGATTCTTTATTAGCGACCGCGTATGAGCAAACACAATATAGGACGATCCCCCGCTAGATGGAGTGACGACCTCAAATATATTGCAGGGAGTCAGTGGACGCAAGTGGCTCAAAACCGTTTCTTATGGCAGTCTATGGAGAAGGCAGAAACCAGAGGGAGACTTTGTACAAAAGTCGTTTGCTTCGGTACCTATGTCCCATTCGTGTTTCAACTGTAAAGCAGTTGTGTTTGCATGGCTGTGTTTCGGTTTGAAGGGTGGGATATGGCGTAAATTTACTGGGTACAGAGGAATAACACCTAAGTCCTCAGGAATAGCAACGCATGGGAGGTATCGTGGGCGAAAGTACAGTAACAGTATACTCTGTTATGTCCATGGTACTGCTCATGTCTATAGGCGACGATCACCACTTTACATCAGGTGGGCCGTCAGCTTGTTTGCCATTCTAAGTTATATAAAAAAGGCATATTTCCAGCAGTGGACGAATAATGACGAAAATGATGATGACCTAAAATATATATTACTATCTTCTAGCTGCAACTTTATCCATATTACCCGCATTTGTTTCATTAAATAGGATAAAAATTTGCCTATGTCCCTCTCTATATCCTATAATATATGTATACCGAATTTCATATTAATTGGTTAAGCCTCTAAAGCGCTAAGAACTAACAAACAAACTCACTTTCACATTTATAATATTAGTAGGAATTTGTTAAAAGTGAAAAAAACTAAAGACTCGCTTTCAATTTTAACTTTTATCTCAAAACAACAAATAACATTCGATTCATTGTTTTGTTTCTATGTAAAGTACTCTTGTTTTGAGTTTCAGACCCTTAATTAGTGTGTCAGATGGATCCAACAAACACAATAAGATTAATGGCGAAAACAACTTAAATTTTCCACTCTTGAGTTTATCTCTCTGATGGACAAACACATTACGCATCTTAGAGACATGCACGGCGGCAACTACATTAGCCGATCAAATAAATGTTAATAAAAAACCACATCTCTAGTTTGCCACTAAATACCGGACCTGGATATACGAATACAGTGTGCGTAGCTAGGATATGGTTGTCATATTCTCATTATCTTCCTGTCAAATTTTTATATAATATTTATTCGGAGCCGCCATTATGTTTTTGTTTCCATTTACTGGTATTTCTATTAGCAATCATATTATTATGCACTTTCTTTCTAGATATGTCTGTTTCGATACACTCCATCTGTCTTTTTTTTTTAAATAATTTACAACAACCCTATCTTATTTTATATATATGTATTTATTTATTTATTTAAGGCAAACAGCTAGAACAATACATATTTACACACTTATATAATGATTTGACAGCCATTAAAGTTTGCACAAATGTAATACAAGTGAAGGACAAAATTAAACAATACTAAATTAATTTAGTAACTTAATGTGTTTAAACACATTAAGTTACTAAATTCAACAATTTAGTAACTTAAATTGTTTAACTTAATAGTTTTATCATCAATAGGGTAATATGTTCTCAAGAATAATAACTCTTGTAGTTTTTTTTTTATATATAAAAATACATTTTAATGTGTAGTGTGCAGTAGACATGTTGTATATTTTTTTTTTCTGAAACAAAAAAATCAATTCTCACTTCACAATTGATTTTATGAATTGAAAGAGAGACAATTTTTCTATATATAGTATTATTACTTTATGATAAATTTTGTCTCTTTTTTTATTCACAATTTTTAAACAAATTATACCAACAATGAATATAATAATTATTATAGAAAGATGGCAGCACCTACCGGCAACTAATCACACGTTCCCTACTAACGTAATGACGTAACAGTCTACGTGACAAGAAACTGCCGTATCCAATCGCTTTCACGGCTTATCTGCGCGCGTCCATTTTATAGCTTTGTATCTGCTTTCGTCCATTATTTAGACATTAGTACACGTCGACCCTACAATAGTACTGATTGGCCCTTTGCCCTAGAACGTGTAACAGCATATAAAACTGGCCATTATAACCTGACATTTCAATATCTAAACATTCTAGTCCCATGTCTCAGTATTAGTAAATTTACGGGGATCTGTAACGCTGGACCTCATATATTAATATTTATTAGGTGAAAGCTTGATTTACATATCTATTGTCTATTCTAGTTAGGGATTTGACCGCTTGTGTAATGTAAGATTTACAAATGGTATTGTTTTCCCTAATTTTATATTGTCCAAAACCTATTGTGGTTTGAACCGAATATAAACTTCATATTACTGTAATATGTAAGATTTATGGAAAGGGCTATAGTAAACTCATAGTTTCACTACGTGACAGCATTTAAAATGAGTATATCTATAGAAGAACCAAAGTTATTAATATAGCCCCAAGGATAAGCAAGCTAAAGTAGCAATAAGCCAGCCATATACGAGTAGATCGAAAAACCTACAATTCATTCGGTTTCCCAAATGGCGCTCCTTTACAAGCAAATGCGGTGTAAAACGTCCTCTTTTTCTTTTTTTTTTTAATACATCTGTATTTTTATTTATATACTACTACATTGTTACATAAACAATGTAGTGGCTATATTACACAATTAACTCGTCAATTTTGATCCGATTTTAATAATTATTTCTGAATTCGATATACTGTGTGGACTCATATTATTTTTTATTTTATTTTCGGATTGTTTAATTTCAGTGGAATGTATTTTGTTTAATTATTATTTAAACATATATCGGTTGGGGGCCTGGTGATCTGTACTACAGGTTTTAACCTATTACAGACACCAGCTCCTCACAGCAGAGTTCCGTATTATTTTAATTTTATTGTATCCTAAATACCTATGTGTAAATTTAAGTTGTTTGTGAAAAGACATAAATAAATATATTATTATTAGTATATTACATTTATTTCAGCGTTTTGTTTTGCGAAGCAAAAAATTATTGGGTTAAAAATTACTTTGTTCTTGTAGTTACACGAATCTAAGTATAAATAAATATTTTCAATGAAATGGTGGAAACAATTGTTTTTTTTTTTGTCGTGAAAAAATGTATTACTTAATATAACTATAACTTATATTAATATAAAAAAAAATTTTTGTTACAGAGATCGAAGCGACGGAAGCATGCAAATGGCTACGAGCAGCTGGTTTCCCGCAGTACGCGCAGATGTACGAAGGTAAGTGTTCGGTTTTGCTTTTTTTTTTATATAAATACGGTGAAATGGTATCCACATACGTAGTGTATTGTACATGTTAAACCCTGGAGAGTACAAGTGTGAGTTGATAAGTATAAATGAAGTTAAATAAATAAAGTCAATTAACCCATTGTGATAAATTCATCAAAGATTAGCTAAGACGGATAAAACGGAATCGTGTATGAACACTTTATTATTTATAACTAGCGACCCGCCCCGGCTTCGCACGGGTGCACATTACATCATATCACATTAGAAACTTTTAAAATTATCAGTGTTTCTCTACAATATTATGCATGTATTATACATATAAACCTTCCTCTTGAATCAGTCTATCTATTAAAAAAAACCGCTGCAAAATCCGTTGCGTAGTTTTAAAGATTTAAGCATACATAGGGATGGACAGACAGCGACAGCGACTTTGTTTTATACTATGTAGTGATGATGAAGTACAGAAGCATAACACCCTACTCCATGGTATACTCTGTCATGTCCATGGTACCGTTCATGTCTATAGGCGACGGTTACCACTTCCCATCAGGTGGGCCGTCAGCTTGTTTGCCATTCTAAGTTGTATAAAAAAAAATATCCCTTCTGCGAGCTATCAATAGATTTGTATTACAAGTCTAATGATTGGACATGAGAATTCCACAGTATTTTTATCAATAACATGTCATTATATTAAATGAGTACAATAGGAGACCCTACCTGTCCCCCAAAACTATTAATCATGCTTAGCGGACAGAGTATGTCATTTGTCCTGTATATTAGGAGGGCTGATCCGCCCGGCTTATTTTAGCCGATTGTGTGCGGTCGGAAGGAAGGGTTATGATTTTAGAAATTTACATACCTATGTATCTAATGCTTATATACAGATGGGAAAGGGATTGTTAGTAATAGGTATTTATTATTTATTCCGCATTACTAGCATATAGCATATATAAATAAATAAATAAATATATATATATATATATATATATATATATGATTAAAAAATATAACTATTAATGTCTATAAAGGTACATTTTGAACACCATGGATACTACAGAATATACTATAATGTCTATGGTATCCCTATTACATTGCCATTACCGAGGACTACGATGTTACACCTCTGTACCCTGTAATTTCACTGCGTATAGCAACTGGGATATGTATTCCAACCTCAAACCGAAACACAACCATGCAAACAACTGGTTCACGAAAGTAACACGAATGGGACAGAGGTACTCGTGCAGACAACACACCAGAGGGAGAGTTTGTACAAAAGTCGTTTGCTTGGGCAGCTCTGTCCCATTCGTGTGTCAAACGTAAAGCAGTTGTGTTTGCATGGCTGTGTTTCGGTTTGAAGGGTGGGGTATGGCGTGAATTTACAGGGTACAGAGGAATAACATCTGAGTTCTCAGGAATGGTAACGTATGGGGGGCATCATGGGCGAAACAGTATACTCTGTTATGTCCTTGGTACTGCTCATGTCTATAGGCGACGGTTACCACTTTCCATCAGGTGGGCCGTCAGCTTGTTTGCCATTGCAAGTTGTATAAAAAAAAAAGACAAGTTCTGTACTGTTCTCTTCTTCCTCTAGTATATTAGAGGAATTAATATATTAAAGTCCCCATTATGATGTAAAAACGAATGATTGTCATGCTGCAAGTAAGCGACATGTTAAAACTCATTAAAATGCCACACTCACCGTAAACGAAGGGGTACGTACTATGAGATAAGATTAGCAAATACGGTCATGATTTGTAACCTTGATAGCATGATAACAAACAACTTTATCCGTTAAAAACAAGTTTTTTTTAATGGGTGATAATGATGTGGTAACCCCACCTGCGCTATCGGTAAACACCGGCGGGGTACCAGTGGGAGATGATAGGTGAGGATGAAAGCAAGTCAGTTAGCTCATCGTGATGGATTCAACTAGATTAACCACGATGGTTTCCGGAACCACGTGGAGGTCGACCTGAAAGGGTGTATTGCTAGTAATGGGGCTATTTGACCCCATTACTAACAATCCCTTTCCATCCTACAAACAAGTTTAACGCGAGGAACAAATTAACAAATCGCCGGTTTTCGCCTCCACAACATGTTTTAACTACGAATATTGGAAAGGGGGGGTGGGGGGTTGTTAGTAATGCAGTCATAAAGTCACAATTAAAGTCTGTTTTATTTTTTAATACAATTTATTGGGGGGAGAGGGATTGTTAGTAATGGAGACTGAGAATCCCATTACTAGCAATATACCCCAACCAGGTCGACCTCCTCGCGGTTCCCCCTGGAAACTATCATGGTTAATTCCCGATGAATTCATCGTGATGGGCTAACTGGCCTGTTTTCATTCTCATCTATCACCCTCCACTGGTGCTCCGCCGGCGTATTCCGTTGGCGCAGGCGGGGTTACCATACCATTTTCACCCATCAAAAAAAAATACAATTTAATTTCAATAGAGACGTCCATACTATTTCAACGCAAAACGATGACAAGTATCAAGTGATGTATCCTGTGATGGCCAAGTGACGGGTCCGTACCTATTGCCTATTAAAGGTAAACAGCCCTTTACACAAATGGGCACGTTTCTATAGCAATCAGATATCATTGTGTGGCACATTTGATTTGACAAGCTTCGCTTAGAAATCAGAAACTTTAAAACTTCTCTTTTTAAAGTACTTTAAAGAAGCAAAGAATTAATTTATTTATATATTTAAACTTCAATGCATAATTATATAATATATATGTACATATGGCGTACTTATCAACCATGAGATAAGCAGAAAATTAAGCAATTTTAATTCAGGCGGTGCATTTACTACTAAAATATGTATAAATATTATATATATACTCATATACACAAATCACTACATAGTATAAAATAAAGTCGCTGTCGCTGTCTGTCCGTCCCTATGTATGCCTAAATCTTCAAAATTACGCAACCGATTTTGAAGCGGTTTCTTTTATTAGATAGAGTGATTTAAGACGAAGATTTATATGTATAATACATGCATAATATAGTAGAGAAACACTAATAATTTTTAAGGTTACTAATGTGATGTGATGTAATGTGCACCCGTGCGAAGCCGGGACGGGTCGCTAGTATAGTACAGTAGTAGTGTTTCGCCCATGATAGGTACCCCCCATGCATTGCCATTCCCGATAATGTGCGAGAATGAATTCCCTGTCGATGACGAGTTGTCATTGTGGGGATGAAAAAAACTAGTGACACAGTTTATTCTTACTTTATAAATAATCAATGTTGTTATGTGAAGAATGTAAGGGAGACTTTGTACAAAAGTCGATTGCTTGGGTACCTCTGTCCCATTCGTGTTTACTACTGTGAAGTAGTTGTGTTTGCATGGCTGTGTTTCGGTTTGAAGGGTGGGATATGGCGTGAATTTACAAGGTACAGAGGAATAACACCTGAGTCCTCAGGAATGGCAACGCATGGGGATTATCATGGACGAAACAGTATACTCTGTTATGTCCATGGTACTGCTCATGTCTATAGGCGACGGTTACCACTTTCCATTAGTAATGTAATATAAAAATATAATAGTAAATGATTCACAACAGATAAGATTAGGTGTTCAAGTCGTTTGTATCGCAGGTAAACTAACCGTTCTGATAACTGATAAAAATAATGTTAAACCGTATCGTAAGGTTGTAAGAGTGATGACTAGAGGATTTGTTTTGTTAGCTGCGTGTGCGCACGCCGAATTCAATTCTCGGAACAAGTGCATTGATTCCAACTATGATGAATCATTGTTGTGGTATGCATCAGCGGTGAGTGATATCTTAAAGTTTGTAATACTGGTTGTTTCTCCCAGTTTTATCTGACTAGTTTCCTTTTTCTGCATACTTGTTTTTGGAGATTTTTAAATTTTTATTTCGTACAAAGAATAGTTTATTTGTTTATTTTATCTATAATAACTTTATTGACCAAAATAAAATATGGTACAAAAGGACTTATTGTTAGTAGCGTTCTCTACCAGTCAACCTTTGGGATGAACAGTGAATCACGAACGCGCTACTTCATTATTGGATATAATAATACATATAAATAAATATACATTCTATTCTTCTAAATTTTTTGAAAAATTCTATCTTTTAAGATTAGTCTAATAATTCTTAATTTGTTTTACCAACTCATAAAGGTACTTTTTTTTAATGGACGATAATGGAATGGTAACTCTGCCTGCGCTGATGCACTAGTGAGGGATGATAGGTGTGAATGAATAGGCAGGTTAATTATCCCATCGCGATGAATACACCTGTAATTCAGCACGATGGTTACTAGAGGAGACCACGTGGAGGTCGACCTGACAAGGTGTATTGCTAGCAATGGATCTGGCAGTCCGCATTACTAACAATCCCTAAATTTCGAACATAAAGGTAGTTTACGTAGTTAATGGTAACGGATTTTTTAACGGAAATAGTTTTAAAGTATACAGTTTACTGTAACCGCAACCCGAACTATTTAACTCGATTGGATTGTATAACTACCGGTTTATGGACTTTAAATAGTATAATTTACAGGTAACTCGACCATAATAGGTCTCGAGTGACAAACGAAAGTGTCCGCCCTTTCCGGCTGTCGGAGAACATTATTTAACGTCATACTTTGAACAAACATAATATAACCGATTAGCCTTATCTTGCTCAGGTAAACATTGCCACGGGATGACTAAATTCCTTAACAATATAAATAAAAATCAACCATAATAATTAGATACAAAGTTTACTTTTAAATGGTGACATATTCGCATCGCTACACAGATATAAAAAACGTAATGTGATAAGGTAAATGATAGTGGACGCTAGTGTGTTCAGAATATGAGTGGTTTTATCTTGTCGGGTGGATAAGTAGGTTTTTTTGGGGTAGGGGGTCGAAATAAGTGACGGATAGCACGAAGCTGTCAAAATACTTTTTTTTTTATTATGGCTGCAGGTACAGCATAGTTAGTAGTTGAGTTGGAGCGCGGTGGAAACCGCCCGTATCGAAACGTTATCAACTCGTAAAATGATGGCTGTTTAGTGGAGTGTTTGGTGTTTAAAAAAAAACTTTGTTTATTCTTTTAGTGGACTAAAGTGTAGTTGAAAAAATGCAAGGCCGTTTACAAGTTTTATAGTAGAGTGAGTATAGATATAGTATAATTTTGAATGTCTCTCACGAAAATTGTAGTACGTTGTAAAAAAAATAGAAGTCCTTCGGTATGCCACGTGATTAGTATTTTTAACCGACTTAAAAAAAGAGGTTTTCTTTATGTTTGTTACCTCATAACTTCCTTAGTTATAAACTTGTTTGGATTTTTTTTTTATCTAAACGGATATACTTACAGATTGGTCTCATGGAAATATAGTTTAGAAATCAAAATAACAGATTTTTGCCATAATTGAAGTCGGTTTTTTTTTAAAACAAACGTATTAATATAATGTCACATTAAATTAAAAATAATTGAAATAAACACGTGGAATTGTGCCATTATGTATATGTAGACAATTTCTATCGTAACAGAAATAATAGTCTAGTCACATGGAAATAAACCATATCAGTTGTAAAAAGAAACATCGATATCGGTTCAGAATTAGTAACGAAATCTACGAGTACATTAATATTATAAAGAGTAAATATTTGACTGTTTATTTGTAATGGAAAAACTCAAAAATTATTCAACTAATTTTAAAAAATTCTTTCACCTGTATAAAGCTACATTTTCATTGGGTAATATAGGCTTCTATATTATTTCAAAAATTCCATCTACTCGTGCGAAACCGGGTCGGATCACTAGTTGTATAAAAAAATAAACAAAAAATATAGATGACTTGAGAACCTCTTACTTACTTAAAATCCTGAGTTCTCAGGAATGGCAACGCAGGGGGGGGGGGGTATCGTGGGCGAAACAGTATACTCTATTATGTCCATGATACTGCTCACGTCTATAGGCGACGGTTACCACTTTCCATCAGATGGGCCGACAGCTTGTTCGCCATACCAAGTTGCATAAAAAAAAAATTATCGTATTTTTACATTTGAAGGCAAGAATGATACTCTTTCTTTTATTTGTAATTCTAAAAATAAATCTGTTACGCACATTAAATGGACAGACTTCAATTACTTTTACAAGAAATAATGAGTTTGCTTTAATGAAACTTTGTTCGAAGCAATACTAGTTTGATAGGTCTGTAAAGTTTCGCCTAAAGTCAATACGAGCATACCTTTTTGTTCAGCCATAGAGTTTTTTTTTTTTCAGTTCTAACCAATCGTTCTAAGTTTTTTCTTTTTGTTTTTACTAAATTCAATTATTATCATTTATTTATTTACTGGGAAACCAACAGCTTACAAATTGTGGCTTAAATAGATACACACCAATACTTAAATAATGAATAATAATAAGAAAATACGTACATATAGTGATACAATTTCAATGACTGGATAATATTGTAACAGATCCTTAGACTATTTCTAAAGTGAAAAAAGTGTTGTCCTCCTCTCTCCTACTTGCTGTGTCCAACAGGGTCCATAATTGAAATGTTATCTACTAAGTATATTATGGAATGCAATAAGAAATAAATAAATAAATAGAATAACAATAATTTATTAATATAAAAAGCCAATAACAGGTTTTCACTGACTTAGCAATGTAAATGTATCGTGGCAGGAGTAATTACATATAATTTAGAAGGATATCAACAACTACTTTACACCATAGTATATTATAACAATAGTTACTAAATTTCAAGTAATAATAAATTATCATATCGAACGTTGTCTGTCCACTTCTGAAAATAGATCTCCCCCATAGACTGCGGTAAAGAACAATCCTGAGCCACCTATATTTTTTTTATACAACTTAGAATGGCAAACAAGCTGACTACCCACCTGATGGAAAGTGGTAACCGTCGCCTATAGACTTGAGCAGTACCATGGACATAACAGAGTATACTGTTGGTTGTTGTTGGTTACTGATTGGACAATATAAGAGCAGTCCAAATTTATGAAGCTCTAAAGGGCGAGGTGGTGTTACAGCTAAACTACAGCCACAGGTTTTTCAGCCAGGAGTGACGCCTTCTACCAGCACTTTTTTACCAGCAAACTTGCCTTTGATTATTAGGCAGAGTACTCTGTACTTTTCATTCCTCATGACGTAACCCAATAATATTTACAACATTTTTCGCCGCTTAACGGTGTTCATATGTGCATGGTACTGGTCATGTCTGTAGGCGACGGTTAACACTTTCCATCAGTTGGGCCGTCAGCTTGTTTGCCATTTTAAGTTGCACAAAAAAAAAACTAGAAGAAAATTTTAACGAATTTTGTAATGAAGGTATCGTATTTTTTTTTATTTTTATTTATTTTATCTTTTTATCTTTATTTATTTACATTCAAATTTCTATTACCGCAGTGCTTATAGACCGTGATAAGAGATTGAATGTTTGCACTGTCGGTATGATAACGCCTTAGTCAACTATTGCTCGACTATTTCACAAATCATTACACAAGGGATGAACGTTTTACCAGAGGGAGACTTTGTACAAAAGTCGATTGCTTGGGTACCTCTGTCCCATTCGAGTTTCGAACGTAAAGCAGTTGTGTTTGCATGGCTGTGTTTCGGTTTGAAGAGTGGAATATGGCGTGAATTTACTGGGTACGTAGGAATAACATCTGAGTCCTCAGGAATGGCAACGCATGGGGGGTATCATGGGCGAAACAGTATACTCTGTTATGTCCATGGTACTGCTCATGTCTATAGGCGACGGTTACCACTTTCCATCAGGTGGACCGTCAGCTTGTTTGCCATTCTGAGTTGTATAAAAAAAAATCGTCTTAAAGGAAAACACAGCCTACATACATCGAGCATACAATACAATCATATGTAATGTATTTGTTACTTATAATTGCATTAGTATATTTTTGTTAAATAAATAATTATTATTATCAACAAAGTCGCGGTTAGAAGCTATATATTACATTGCTTAAAGGTACGATTCATTTATATATTATTATTGAGATGTCAAATCTACTCATATCTAGGTTGTTATCGTAATGAGTTATTTTTGTTATGAAATCTGTTGTTTTTTTTTTTCGTTGTTTATCGTTGGGGTCGCCCTGATAACATTACGTAATGTAAAATGAAATTAATCATAATTACAGTTATATTACCAGAGGGAGACTTTGTACAAAAGTCGTTTGCTTGGCCACCTCTGTCCCATTCGTGTTTCAACCGTGAAGCAGTTGTGTTTGCATGGCTGTGTTTCGGTTTAAAGGGTGGGATATGGCAGTGAATTTACAGGGTACAAAGGAATAACACCCGAGTCCTCAGGAATGGCAACGCATAAAAGGTATCATGGGCGAAACGGTATACTCTATTATGTCCATGATACTGCTCATGTCTATAGGCGACGGTTACCACTTTCCATCAGGTGGACCGTCAGCTTGTTTGCCGTTCTAAATTGTATAAAAAAATATGGTTTATTTTATACCAATACAAGTAATATTATAATTATTTCTAAAAAGTAATACGCTTATTCATAAGATCTGTGTTTAGGAGCTGCTAACAAGCATGCTTAGCTGCGTCAACCCTAATGAATAATTAGGCATTTCGCTTAGTAACTAAACCTCGCCCAATCATTTCGAACACAGTACAGAGTCGACATTACAAGGTCGTGTATTTATATAATATTATAATATAAAATATATAGTTTATAATGGGTATTCGGCACGCATATTACCTGTATTCTATGCGGGGGGAGGAGGGGCAAAGGTCGGCGATGACACGAAAATAAGCCGCTCCTTCTGAGCAAATATATGTTTCTGTTACATTTAACAGAAGTCCTGTTACGTTTAGGGTTGCCACAACAAGTCTGCATAGCCATACCTACAATTTACTGAGGAGAAAGGGATTGTTAGTAATTAAGTCTGACTCATTGCTAGCAATACAGGGTGTATCAAGTCGACCTACACGCGGTTCCCCCTGGAAAAAACATCGTGGTTAGTTCTAGTAGAATTCGTCACGATGGACTAACTGACCTGTCTTTTTATCCTCACCTGTCATCTATAACTGGTGCCCCGTAACTCGTATCCCGATAGCGTAGGCAGAGTTACCATTCCAATATCACCCATTAAAAAAACCATCTCACAATTTACTTATTATAAATAAGTAGGTTCTACATTCTTATATATTTTTTGTGTATTTATTTATTTATTTAAACTTTAATGCACAGTAAAATTCTATGTGCTTACGTTTGGCGGACTTAACACTGAACGGTGTTCTCTACCAGTCAACCGTTGGGCAAACCGAGAAATATGTAGGCGGTGCATTTTTGAATAGAGGAAAAATAAAACAACACTTGATAAATTCATATTATATAAACATATACATAATATATTAAATAAATAAATATATACATACAAAAAATACATACAATACAATAAATAAAACAATTTTTATCCGCTACTTTATCCGCATGACTATTATATGTTCAGTAATCAAAGTAAAAGGTACCTTATGTCCTTCTTCATTATTTATTGATTTAATTCTTTATTGCACTAGATACACAAAAATATACAATGACAATTGAATAATTC